CCAACGGCAATTAATGATGGACCAAACTTTGATCCGCCTTTGCTTTGGAGATGGAATGCCACTCAAAAACTAGGAGCTGAGGTCTTGATCTCTATCATGGTATTTTGGGGGTCTGGTGGAGCACCTAGGAAGTGCATATTTCTACAGAAACCTCTTCACGGTATCTTTGTGAATATGCAGGTTATTTTCACCCTTCCATTCAAAGGGCAGGATTTTGCTAATATCCCAGAAGCAGGCTGCTGTGGAGCTCACTTTGTGGTCTGGGGCTGGCTTGGAAATAGCAATCCTCCTACCTCGGTGTCCCTAGAAATGAAGTGATGGAATCACATAATCAGGCCCTGCCAACAGTCTTTGGTGGCCTAACTGGTTGGTTATCAAGAACGCAAGCTGTCAACTCTACCTCACAGGTCTCTTAGGATTTTTCTCACCGTCAAATTCCTGTTCTTTCCTCGTGCCAAGATAGGTAATGGGCAGCCAGGGAGAGAAGGGCAGGGGAGAACTCTGAATTGATGCCGCCCACTCAGATTCCTCCCTTTACTACAGATGGAGAGGCCCCCAGTGGAGTGCTCAGAGAGCCAAAACTGTCACAAGAGCTGTTGAGGTGCAGAGTCAAAGAGAAGTGCCCGACAGTAGCCTGGCTCCTGGACACACCTGAGCATCGCAACTGGTTCCTGCGAGCACCTGTGTGTCTTAAAGATCAGAACCCTCTGGCTGGCTTGTGGTTTCCTGATGAAAAAGCCAAGCTGCCATCTGATGCCCCAATCACACACTCTTCCTTTTAGAAATAACTTTCCTATTATAGGACATGATGGTACTCAATGATAATCAACAGGTGGGAGGCTGAGGCATGAGATCAGAATCCTTATCTCAAAAAAAAAACATATATATTTATTTGATTATAACAGACTTCAGTTATTAAAATCGTTCACCAAGAAGATCATTTTCTTTCTTATGCACAAACATACTTGGCATACATTAATTGATAGAACTTAGGAGAATGAAATAACCACGAATATGTAAATTGGAACAAAAGCATGCAAAACTTGTCCAGGCTCGATGTCAAGATGTTCAGAAATGCTGTGATTTTTTTTTCTGTTATGAGGAACCATCTTCCCCAGGGAGGGCAGCATCAAACCCGATCATAGGGAATATTAAAATTTTAATTTTGCAACAAAAAACCCAACTTATTATTTATGTTATTTATTATTTACTTACTGGGCAGGATTTCAAGTTTAACTTGAAGATAAAACATTTGTTTGGAAGCCGAAGACCTAACAGGAGGCCGTGTAAAACCCCTCTGCCGTGTAACACACATGAACTGAATTATCCAGCCCACTTATCATCATTACTAAGCACTCAAGCATCCAGAGGCAAGAGGCAGGAAAGAAGCCATTTACATCACATAAAATACATAAGATAGATAAAAATCACGAGGTGTTGTTGCTCCGCAGAGAATGAGAGGCCGCCTTCGGGCGATGCCACTCTGTCTGCTAGGCAGGCCTCTGCCCTCCACCGACTCTCTTGGTCAAGGCAGCAAATAGATAGTAAAGAAGCTGAAGTTGTAGCTGCTGGGCAGAGATTTGATGGACTTCTACCAGCCAGAGCTTGGGAAACTAAGAGCGTGAGGCAAAGTGTAGCACATCCAAGCTTCCCCTGCTTCCCCGCCCTCCTTCCCTCCGAAGGTACCCTTGGGACCTCCGAACCAGGAGCTGGGGATTGAGTCAACTATGGACCAGCTGGCTGCCTCAGCTTGGGCACCTGGTGTCTGCCTGACTTCGGGTTTACTGAGAAAATTAACTGAGTTCCTAGTAACTGTTACTCACCTTTGTAACTTCCGTTTCTAAGAAACAAAATCCATTCCCGGTCAAGTTCCCTTGCTCCGTTGTTAGACCTTGGAGGGGCTGTACCTTGCAGCCTTCTGGGATTTGGATTTGAGTGTCCTGTTTGAAAAAGCATCACAGCTGGAGGCAAACTCATCCATGGGATACTGTGGGAGCACAGAATGCCCTTTACGCCGGGCGCTCCCTAGGAAGGACCTCCTCTGTTTGGTTTGTAGTAACACTGAGGAGAGGCATTAGAAGATCTTTTGAGGGCTTTATGATGAGGCTGAGGAGGCAGAACATCAACCCTGAACCACGCTGTAGGTCACAGGGGAGCCGTATTCTCCTCGCAGTACCCCAGCACTCAGTCCCCTCCTAACCACTACCTCAGGAATAACAGTGCTTTGCTACTAGACTATCCTCATACGCCATGTGCAGACTGGGGCCCTGGAGTGTCGCCCTGCCCTGTATTCTGCCCCTGCCGTGGCTTCCTGACCTGTGGCATGCACTGCCCCCCCCAGGATGGAATCTGCAGCATAGACAGACAAATGGACACTCAAGCAGCTGAGCTCAGTGTGTCTCTGAACAGACAGTGGAGAAGATACCCAGAGGCACACTCATTCAAAGTGAGAGCCCTGTGTCCATCATGAGCAGAGTCGGGTCCAGCAGCTCTAATTAGTTATGAGTTTTCCATGGAGCTGTTTATAGTACTGCAGAAAGAAGATGGCCAACACTTCTCTAAAGTGAAGAAATGCTTAAAATGTCCAGATATCTAATTACTCAAAACGCATTCCAAATTTTGGCCTGTGGGGTAGACTATTGTATTGGGAAGAAAATCATCTTCTGCTCCCTCACCATGAGTATTTAGCAGCGGCAGCAGTAGGATTACCACCACCATCATCATCACTACCACCACCATCACCACCATCACCTCCACCATCATCACCACCATCACCTCCACCATCATCACCACCATCACCACCATCATCACCACCATCACCACCATCATCATCACCATCATCATCACTATCATCATCACCATCACCACCATCATCACCATCATCATCACTACCACCACCATCACCACCATCACCTCCACCATCATCACCACCATCACCTCCACCATCATCACCACCATCACCACCATCATCACCACCATCACCACCATCATCATCACCATCATCATCACTATCATCATCACCATCACCACCATCACCACCATCATCATCACCACCATCACCACCATCACCTCCACCATCATCACCACCATCACCTCCACCATCATCACCACCATCACCACCATCATCACCACCATCACCACCATCATCATCACCATCATCATCACTATCATCATCACCATCACCACCATCATCACCATCATCATCACTACCACCACCATCATCACCACCATCACCACCATCATCACCACCATCATCACCACCATCACCTCCACCATCATCACCACCATCATCACCACCATCATCACCACCATCACCTCCACCACCATCACCACCATCACCTCCACCATCATCACCACCATCACCTCCACCATCACCACCATCACCACCATCATCATCACCATCATCACCACCATCACCTCCACCATCATCACCACCATCACCACCATCATCATCACCATCATCATCACTATCATCATCACCATCACCACCATCATCACCACCATCACCCCCACCATCATCATCATACTCACCAGCATCATCATAACTATCACCAACATTACCACCATCATTAACACCACCACAACCACCATCACTACTATCAATGCCAGCATCATGACTACCCTCACCACCATCATGGCACCACTATCACCACACCACCATCATCATCCATTCCTCTGATTTCAGCCTTCATGTGTTTTTACTGACTTTCTGGGGCAGCTTTGTTGCTTGCACAATTTGGTTTTGTGCGTGGCAGTTACAGTCACATGACTCCTGTCTACGTCAGTTTCAGCAAGAGCCGAAACGTATCACCTTGATAATGTAAGCATCTTGGGTGTGTACGACATCTTGGCAAATGATTTATGAGATGCTTGGTGTGTTTATGAAAGCCTGAGTAGAACGACAAGGAAGCAGGGACTCTTTTTCAAACAGGAGGGTGGAGGCCTCTAGGGGAGGCATCCAACCCTAAATGTAACCACTGTGGGCACAGGGGGAAGCCAGCTGCTGGTTTAGGTTTCCAGTATTAATGTTCTGCAATCAGAACCATGTGTATCTCCTGCCTTACCCATGGCCGGTCAGCCTCCTGGACAGTCTGTCCTCCTGTGCCTTCTTTGGAACATGGCCTAAGCCCTTTCTCCTCTCCATGCCCTTCTCTCCTCCTCATTCCCTTCTCTTGTGTATGCTCATACTGAGGCTATTTCAGAGGGCTGTCTTTCTGCTCTGAGTTGGAAGGACCCAAGAGGAAGTAGAGATACCGGAAGAGGCTGACCAGTGGAGAAGGGATTTTGAGTGAAGTATTGCGGAGTCAACCAAGAAGATACAGAGCTCTGGATGCTGGGATGGAAGAAGGCAGTCATGTTCAGGGTTCTGCCTATGTGACTCATGGAACAGCACCAGCTGTTTTTGCTGCTACTATCATCTCTAGAGTGTCTGCATGAGGCAGGTAGTATTGTCTGTTCTGGGGCTTGAGTCACAGTGAAGGAAGAGGAACTTCTAGTGCATCACACAGGGCAGACTGAGCCACCTACAACTATTAACTTACATGTCCCAGCCGCCATGGGGAATGTACCAACACTCCTGTCCTAGAGGAGAAAACCTGGGGTTCAGAAAAGTTGAGGGATATGTCCCAAGTCCATGGTCTCAACAGGAAAAATCAGACCCAGATCTGCTGGACCAGCAACCACATCTTTGGCTTCAACTAGTGTACACTTTTTAAAGTAACCAATTATGATGAGCTATAGAGATGTCTCAGTGGTTAAGAGCACTTTAAGCATGTAAGCAGAGGAACCAGGTTTAATTTCCAGCTGTTCCATGCCAGCTCATAATGGTCCATAGCTGCAGTTCCAAGAGATCTGATGCCCTCTTCTGACCTCTGTGGGCACCAGAGATGTAAGAGGTGCACAGACATTCATTACAGGCAAAACACTCATACACATAAAATGATCTAAAAAAATATTTTTAGACAGTAAGCAATCATGAAACACTGAAAAGAAGACTAATACAGCTTTAATAACATATTTAATCTAATAAAATGATTAAATTCAGGGTTTAGAAATATAAAAGATTATCCAAAAACAGTTGGGATCATTCTCTCTCTCTCTCTCTCTTTCTTTTGTAGACAATGTTGACATGCGCATGAGCTGGTCAATTCTTACCTCTACACAGTTCGAATGAGCAAAGGCCTTCCGGAGTGTGTGTGCACATCCACACTGAGAGGCTGGGGGCCATGAACAGTTTTCCATATAGAACTTGATCTGAGAGGATGGCCCCAGCTCTCCCCCTATCTGTAATTGTTTCTTGAGAGCGGTGAGTACAGACTGACCTAGAGCCTAGGTCTGACGATGGCAGCCATCCACACTCACAGGTCAGGCCAGTCTCCTACACTGTGGGAATCCAGTTCCTAACTCATCCCATAAGGGCCTTGGATGAACCCCTCATGCCCTGGAGTCCTCCAAAGAGTGGTCACGACATTCTTAGCTGCCTGTACTTCAGTACTCTCGGAAGGAATGACGTAGTCTAGCCGCATCTTCCTCAGGATGTGGTCCACGGTCTCCGTAGAAGACATTGTTCCCTTCCAGGGAGCCCTGGGGAGGGCCACAGCAGGATCAAACAGCCACTTAGAAAAGAAGCAGGTGGGCTGGGTACTGAGCCACTGGGATGGAGACATGTCTGCCACAGTTAGGTTTGCTCTCTGAAGGAGAACCCTCTGGCCGTCTGCCCACTCAGAGCCCTGGAGACTTAACAGCAGGATTGGCTCAAGCAGAGGCAAAACTCAAGCAGAAGCTCAGACTGGAGTCTGACAGAGTCTGAAGCACGGCCTCCACCAGAGGCTGCTAGAGAGAGGTAAAGGCTATGCCTGTGTGACCCACGGTGCTGAGTGACATCTCTAGACAGGAAAACCTCATGGAGCGGGCAAACCATACACAGGTGATCATGCTTGTAAACGGCATGGCCCTGCCAGCTTCTAAGGGTGTGATGGTCTCCTGGCTGGCATCCAAGAGCGCTGGGAGCAAGCCAACTGCTGGGAGCAGGCAAAGGAAAGGGCCAGGGTACAAACCGGGCCCTCCTCAAAGGCACAAGGAAGTGAAGTTGAAAAGCATTCAAAAGCCCATCCCCACCAGCATAGATCTTCAAGGGCAAACAAGGACACATACATTGTATGTGATTAATTTCCCGAAGCCAGCCTTCCGTTTTCACAGATCAAAACAGTCTGCTTAAATATCTCATCTCTACAAAGTGAATTTACATTTAAAGTACAAAGTGCAAATACTATATGTATTTTTTTTCTTTCCGTTTTAATAGCTCTTTGTTGAGGGAAATCCCCACATGTCTAGGAACTGCCTTGGATAGTCAGCCATTCATCCTTGTCTTCTGGGCTGTGGGGGGGGAAAGAAAAGAAGAAAAATTTATGAAGATGTTTGTGTCTTCCCTCCTTCCCTCTGTGCAGACCAAGGTTGATTGCTGAAGTAAACATACTTGCTATGAGGGAAATCCAGACAGGGAAGGACACAGCGTAGAATTAAGGACGAGCGGGCACAATGTATAGAAAGTGCGTTCTTCCCTTGAAATTGTCAGTAAAATGTATCTATCTCCTGAGAAAAACTGCATGGGCTTCATATACATTAAGCGAACTTCTAGAACAGGGTGACAGCAAGCAACCTTGCCATCACCACGACCCTGGACAGTCATGTAGCGTTTAAAACCCCCCCTTTTCATGTCTCTATTTGCTCTTTTACCTGAGGGGAAACACAGCTTGCAATTGTGTTTACAGTAGAGGGGTCTCTTGCTGTCCATCACCACACAGACTTTCCTGGGAAGTCATTCAGATAAGAAGAAGCAAAGCGCCCATCTTTTTCTGGTCAAGTGCAGCAGTCTTCATGGATAGAAGCTGATCTTGTTTGATACTTAAAGTACCAGGCTTTAACATTTAGGCTGCCTTTCCTCCCTTTCCAATAGCACCACGAGTAGGCCAATAACTCCCATGAAAGTTTTGTCTTAATTAGTTACGGATAGAGACAGTCTTTGGATGCACTGCGGTTATTACTGAAGATGGATAGAACTTGGGGAAGAGGGTTGGTCTAGGCACACGTACCCAGCACCCAGAGCGCACAGCTCTGATCCTCGCTGGCTGATCAAGTGTGTAGCTGCCTAGAAAAACAAGCCACTTTCTGACTCCTGGCCCACAGACCCCACACCATGCCATGCGGTGATAATGGTGGGCGTTTGCTCCATGCATACTGCGTTACTGGTCAAGAAAGATGAAGAAACTACTACGCTGTCCTTTTTGTCCTTTTCTGGAATAGTGCTGAAGTGGAAGGTTTTCGAGTGGGGGTATGTAAGATTGCATGGCACATGTGTGCCGATAGTTGCCATTAGCTAGCGCAAACAGCCCCTGGGAAGCCTTTGGAGGCAGCTGGGTAATTGCTCTCAGACCTGGCCCCCTTTGCAAGTGTAAGTGATTTGCAGTGTGGCTGGAAAAGTTAAAACCATAAACATATACTAAACAAAGGAAAATGAATTACGCGTCTTTCCTAATGAAACGGCTTCCAGCTCCCTCTTAGGTATGTCCCTGCTTAAAATCCACATCACACAGTGAGCCTGGCATCAAACAGGTGCAGCCAAAGCAAACAGCAACACACCGGAGTCCCAGAGAACACAGTCCGCCTGGCTTCGGGAAAGAACCCTGGAAAGCGTCCCCACTCAGGCTGTTGTGGCTGGGATGTGGGGACCACGACTGTGCCCTTTAATTGCACATCTAGAAATGCAGCCTCAGAAACACAAATGTTTATTAACACAGCAGGGAACTGAAAATCTCTTTGGGAGCCCAACTCCTGCCTCTTTAGGTCTCCAGGTGAGTGGCCTATTTGAGGGGCACCTAAGAGCGCCGTCTCCTGTCCCACCCAGCCATCTCCTCAGTATATATAAGGGGGTAAAGACCCTGCAAACACCAGCTTACTTAACCATTTATGCCACACAGACTCAGAAATCCATCTTTAAGTGAACAAATTAATTGAAATGTCAAATAATAATAATAGTAAAAATAATAATACAGCAGAGTCTTTAAATGGAGGATTTAGCAGGTCAGTGATTGAAGGTAGAATTTGGCAAAGAAGTTTCTTTGTTACCAGTGTGTAGCTGCCTCAGCTGAGCTGTTTGGTTTCCTTGAGGGGTAGTATCGCCCATTAACCTACATGATATTCTCTTGTTAAAAAAAAAAAAAAAAAAAAAAAAAAAAAGTATGGGTAAACTTGAATGTGGTAAAGTCTGCAACACAGACATACTCACCTGTCTGTTAGATGAACTTTCAGCATTTCCTCTGGGGGCTGTGGGGGGTAGAGGGGGAGGAGACATTATTGCTGGTCAAATACTGCTTTGTTAATGGCAGGCTCAACATCATCAGTTGGCAGCCTTGGTCAAATGACAGTGAACCCATAGACATCCTGAGCCTAGATCTGGAAGAATGGGTTCTTAAATTGCCACAGAGACGCTGTCAAATGACACAAATACCCTACTCCAACAGTAGAAGAATGCCTTGTTTTACCCCAAATTCTAAACCTGGGTCCACCAGCCACAAAGAGTGGTCTTCCAGAACTTTCCTAGAAAAGCAAGGAGCCTGAGCTGCACCCCTCTCGCAGCCCTCCCCTCCCCCTGTTCATTTAAATATTTTGGTACAGTATTAAAATTAGAAAACGTTAGCTTTGGCTCACTTTGCCAAAATATTCACATGATATCACAGCTAAGGGACAGGTGTTGTTTGTTCTTGGCTTGGACACTAGGGGGGGTGCTGTGTGTCTTCCGTTTCTATTCCCAGTGAGGTACCCACTCTTGTGTACGAGGACCCTCTACCTCAAGTCCCCCTGCCTCACGCAGGTCTGTGAGAGTTCAGCCTCTCACCCGGCCACAGTCCCTCCTTGGCCAGGATCTATGGGGCTCCCAAACCTGTGGTCATCTCTACATGAGTGACAACAACCAACGGCATGCCCATTTCTCCTTTGTTGACCATAGGCCAACCTATTAAATCCGGGAAGCAACTCCACAGGCACAGACCCCCCAAGACGATCAAACTCAGAGTAGTGAAATACGGCTTACTGTGGCGCTTCCTGGTGCCGGCTTTGCCCTCCTCTCTGCTGACACCCAAGCAACCCATCAGCTCCTGCACAGTAATGGACTTGTCGTTGTTCACGTCACAGTATTCCAGAAACTTCTTCACACACTTTTTGGGCTTGGATTTCTTTCTCAGGAACCTCTTAAAGGGTTTGATTTCCTTCTTGCCGATGTCCCCGCTAGCGTTCTTATCAAGGAGCTTGAAGTACCAATGCACCACCCTCTCCTCCAGAGTGTGGCTGGGGTCTGGCTCTGACAACCTACATGGGAGACAGCCCATGTCAGACACAAGCCTGAACTGGAAAGCCCGGACTCTGTCTCCCTTTCCCCAAGTCCCGGCTCAGTTCCTGATACAACTACTCTCAAATACAAGACAGGGGAGTAGTCTGTAATGGCTCAGACAGTGTGTTCAGAAGCAGGGACACAACAGCATCTATGTGCACTGTGGTTATTCGATGGGTCGAGGTCTTGAAACAAAAGGTCACTGTCTTGAGACCTGGGTTCCGTTAGGCCAACAGGGTGGGCTCAGCCACTAGCATCCACCAAGGGCACCTAGAGCCCAGGGGTTTTCTCCATAACACAATCATGTCTCTACTGTGTGTGTAAGATGCACTTAAAGAGGAGGTTAGTGGAAGGTGGCATCAAACGTTTTAATGTTGTAACTTAATGGTTTCCTTTAAATTTTTTTTAAAAGCTGGACATTCTAAGACACAGGTAAGTCGGGCTGTGTGAGTCAGACCTTGAAGCTGTGCGGTGACAAAGCTCACCTGTCACCTGTGCCATCACTTTGGGCTCTGTGGACCCCACTGTCCACAGGCTTAGATGACCTTTGCTCCCCGAGAGGGCAGACATGGCGAGCAGATGCCAACAGCCTGCATGGACTGAGCTCCCTGGCACTATCCTGTGTCAGACACCCGGAGGTCATGTCAGTCACCCCCACAGTATGAAATATAAAGTTGAAATGCATGTGACTTCTTTTGCCTTAGCTTATTATCTAACTGTGACATTGCACCTTGGTATTGCCTTCTCTTCTTACCCCTTCTTTAGCAAAAGAACCGCAAGATGAAGGGCCTTTTGCTACGGAGGCTTCGTGCATGAGACAGCCAGGAGCTGTATTTTCAGGAAGATGGAAACCTTAAAATTTCTTTTAAAAATACAGTGAGAAATTGTGAACACACAGGGTGAGTTTAAGTGTTGAAGTGTCCAGCCTGACCCCACGGCTGCTTTGCCCCCAAAACACACAAAGGTTCCCTGCAACCAAGGGAGCAGGAGCCAGCTCCTTCTTTCCCTGAATGGGTCAAGTCTGCACCAGAAACCACGCCCAAAGGGTGTGGCCACTACTACAAGTTCCACTGCTATAAGACCACTAACAGCTGTTCACCTGGAGAACTCTATCACCCTATACCGTGAAACAGAGGGGACAGAGGCACTGTGGGTTCTAACACAGTATGCACAAGGAACGAATCTCTAGGGCAGAACTGTATTGGTAGGATCGATACCCCCGAGCTACACACTTGAACCTGGATAAGAAGATAAGCTTCATGTGCTGTGTAGGTTTCAACAATAAAGAAGTCACAGCACTTGGGAGGCAGAGGCAGGCAGACCTCTGACTCTGAGGCCAGACTGGTCTACAGAGTGAGTTCCAAAACAACTAGGGATATACAGAGAAATCCTGTCTTGAGAACAAAACAAACAAAACAAAACATTTTTTCTTTAGTGGCAGAATGTCAAAGTGTTTAAAACACAATAGATAATTCTTAGACTCAGTTTCAACCTATATATCTACCCAAAGCAAGTGCATTCCCATTCTTAGAGTCCTGCCTAGACCCTAGGGGCCCCTGAAATGAACGGTGGGGGCTGGTCTAGAGGTGCTCCTTTCTTCTAACTACATCTTCGTGAACTGCCTAGTCTCACTTGGCTACTGGCCAGGAAGACTTAGTCTTTCCAGATTCCTTCCAATTTCTGGGCTTCTGGCCAGCATATTGCTCTGCAGTGAGACACAGCATACCTTCCAGAGGAGGAAGAGGGGTCGGAGACGGCATGAACCATGTCTGTGGAGAGTGCATCCAGGACACTTGTCAGAAACTCATGCTTTTTGGCACCAGGACAACCTAAAAAAAAATGCACATTTTTTTTCAGTTAGTGGAATCCATAAAGTATAACGGATTTTTAATGGAAAAGATTTGGTATTCAGCAGTTAGTGTGTTAGACTGTTTCAACATGAATGAGATCATTTGATGCAAATACTTTATATAAGATTGTATGTGACTCTGGCACTCTGCAGATGCAGATACTTGGTAACTCATAGGTATGGACCTTGACACACAGCAACCATTAACCATGTTATCTAACATGTGTTGAATTATGACATGAAACAGAGATTCTCAGGCTTTAGCCTCTTGCTAACCTTTGAAGCCATGACGCAAACATGTATGGGTAATCCCTTTGTTACATGAGACTCTTGGAAACATCACGGGACACAAGGTTCTCCCAACTGGGATCTACATAGGGAGATCTAACCCAGGCTAGTCACTCCAGCGGCTGTCAGCCACCACTACAGGTCTCCTGGAGCCCTGCATCTGGTTAGAAGCAATATGAGGAAGATGCGTGGTTGCCTCCTTAGGGGCAGATCTGATCCAGGACATCAGCTCGACACATATCAAGTAACAAGGGAGTTCACACCCTTGAGCCCCAGACCTGGCTGTGTAGGATCGCTGGGTCCAGGAATAAATCACTAATTCTTCCATCTTACTCTCAATTTTCCACAGAGCGCTTCATGCACGGTACCTCTTCTTCACAAGTTTCCCTTTACTCAGTCCCACTTGGGGGCCCCTGGACCCTGAGTTGTGGCAGCTACAGAGAGAGACTAGCATGCTGGTGTGGTTAAAGACACTCTGGTTTCATGGTTTTTCTTTTGCACACCTGGGTTTTTGTTACTATGATTCAAGTAAATGTTAGCTGCCCATGGCAAGGATCTGTGGAAGTCTGTTTCGACTTATTAAAACATTGTAGCAAAAAACAGATGTGAGTCTTTCATAGAGTGTGTGGAACTTGAGACCAGAAAGACTGTGTATCTCTTCTGTGCCCAATTAAAAGAATGGATTACGATCTATAGGAAAAGCCAGAACCACTCACTGGGCGGAGGGCTCTGAGAAAATGCCCTGTATACCCCGCCCCCAGGCAATCACCAGGAAGGAAACAGAAGCCTGAGATGGCAGAGGCTGAGGGTGGAAGCCATCCCTGCTGGATAACTTATAGATGACACAGCCGTCAGTGGTGTGGAAACAGAGGGATATAGCAGGTCTGTCTGATGATGCTTCCCAAGTGCCAGCCTTATAGCCAGCTGACCCAAGACAACTATGAGGTAGGAGGCATCCCGAGGGAGCGCAGCAGACCTGTGCAAAACTCGAGGTGTGCCCATGAGCTCTAGCGCTTAGCCTGAAGAGATCCATATGGTAATATAGAGAAGGTAAGCCACTGGTCGCATCCACTCAGAGAATGTCCACTAAGGACCTGCAGAGAAGCAGGGACCTGTCACAATCAAAGTCAAGCAAGGCCTTTGCTTGGGACGGATGCCTGGATATAAAGTCCTTATTTCATTTTGCCAGAGGTAACTTGGAGAGCCATTTACTTTATACTCTGACACATGGATGTTATAGTTTTAGGGGTATCGGCAATGGCAAAGGAGCAATATGTCATCTCCAAAGAGGAGAGAGTGAAGGACAGTTGGTAGGATTGACTGGAATGAGGTATCTCGAAGGTACTCATGGGCAATCTGAGTCAGGAGAGTGAAGGGTGTCTTCTGAACATGGATGCTCAGACATACTAATGGAGATGTGACAAAGACAGCCACAGGAAGGATCAGAGCTGCCTGTAGGCTGTATGTCATACATGCCACCACCCAGGTTTGCCTTGCCTTTATCACTAAGTACCTTGAAGGCTGTCTGTTCCCTGGCAAAATCTGAGAGCCCCTTGCCCCCACTGCAGAGCCCAGCCAATGTTGCCTCTGAGAGCTCCATGGACGGCAGCAGATGTGTAGTCATTTCTGAGGGCCAAGACAAACAGATGTGAAACAGGAGTGGACAGAGGAGAAGGCCAAAACAACCCATTGCTCTTGGAAGCAAATTCTTCAAGACACATGTATGAACTGAAGCTGCATCGCGGTGCCAAGAGTGTGTCACCAGGGAGATGCAGTCTGGCAAGCATCCAAGAGGACTGACCTGTCTCGAGATAAAAGGGAAGTGACCCCCACACACACACATGGCATCACAATAGTCTGGTGTTGTAGACTGCAACACTGCAAGTACAAGCTCCCATTCCTACAACCTTAAACTGTTCATGTAGCTCATGAACAGTGAGCCCTTGGGTTGCTCTGCAACATTAGGTCTCTATCCTGATACAGGCTGACAGGAAACATAAGACTCAGTGGGTAATGCTTCATGCTTCTCTTCTCGAGCAGCTGCCAATGGCTTCCAGGAATGCGGGTACTCCAGGGTGAGTGTCAGAGTTAGGCATGCAGGTTTTGATGTAACAGGAAAGTCGCTTCACTTAGAGATCATTCTGCTAGAAGGATGTTCTCCAAGTAAACGCAGAATTGAGTGAGTACAAAAGTCCTTGGCCCCTGCAGTCATTTCTCCTAGAACAACTCATAGTCAATGCCCTTTTTAAAAAATCACTTGTTTTTTAATCTTTTAAAATAAATATGTTCTGCACTCTCTATGAAACACTCTCATTAAAAAAAAACAGACTTATTTAAAAAAAACCTACTGATTTCAGCAATTTTGCTTATGATTTTCCTCCAGCATGAATTTATACATGTTCATGATAACTCCGTTGATTGCAGGGCAAGCCCCCTCTACAGATCATCACAATGAATTTACACTTTCTACAGGTGACCTACGTGGCATGCCTGGCTACTGCAAGAAAACCCACACAGAAGCAATGAAGACAAAGTGTAGTTTTGTGAGCTCCCAGTCTGGGTCCCTTACTTCTGCTGGCCAGACAGGACAAAGGTGTTAGCTCCATACCAATAAAATACAGGGAGACTGGGGCCAGCCATCGGCCTTGAGCTGCTCAGAGTTAGAGTGTGATGTATCCGGTTGATGGCGTATTTTGCACTCTGGGCTCATTGACTGTTACTGAGTTTGAAAAGTCTAGTTTAAATTGTATCATTGCTACCAACTGAACTGGACATATGGCCAAAAGGTCTGTCTCTCTATAGTGACTTCTCAGTGAGTGCTGTTTTATTTAAGCTTAGCGTTTCCTTGAGCATTCTTGAATAAGAACTTCCAAGGACTAAGGGATAAGGGGCAGGGTAGTAGTGTGTGTGATGTTAGTAGAGGTCAGGTCGTAGCACCCAGCTCATGACATAAGATGTTACCCTTGATGTTTGAACCCACTTCAACACATAGGTTCTCCCAACCACCATGCCAGCCTTGGGCACTCTAAAGCCTTGCAAAATTGATGAATCTTTTCATACTGAGAAAGAGAGATACATAAAGACGAAAAGAGATGGAGGTGTGACCCTTACACCAGCTTGGTGAAAACCTCAAAGTGCTTGGTCTAAGAAACCATGACTGAACTGGAGGAGACCAGGGCATGGACCCTGTAACTAAACAAGGACCAAGACCCCTCCATTCTCCTCGCTGATCCTAAGCCCACAGTGATGAGGACGAGAGACCAGATTTAGCCTCCCCCGACTATCATTCTTCTAGCGTGTATGTGGTGGGAGTGGAGAGAAGTCCTCAGATGAGTCCAGATTCCTCGCTGAGAGGGAGTGAGGAAGGGAAGGTGGACACTTTAGTGAGCAGGCAAGAGGCTTCTGTGAGCCAAGCCTGCTAGTACCTTTCCTGTGCCCAGGGAAAATTCCACCACCTTGAGTGTGAGGAGGCTGGGAAATGGGCTTGGCTGAGAAGCCTGGGGTGTTAGCCACTAATAATGATCCAGGGTCACGTGGCCTCTGAAACATGAGGTCACAGATATTCCTACAACGCAGCTGTTCCAAGGTAACTTGCATCTCCTCCTTGTGTAGTCACACGCTCATTCAGGATGATGGGACCTGTTCCCCCGTCAACCTTCTGCTGTCTTTTCTTATGCACAAATCATACCTTCTTAGTGTTTCATGCCAGGCCTATGAAAAGAATTAGAACACAGACACAGGCAACCACTAGCTGTCAGAGAGCCTCCTGCCATTTGAAGGGCTTGGGAGAAGAGGCTGAAGGAGACTGTTTTACCATTTCACTAGGGCATCAAGCCTGGAAGAACATAGGAAGAAGGCTGTTACTCCATTTTTCAAGTCACTAAACTGTTCTCTTCTCCAGCTGTCACTCAAGAGAAAAGGCCCAAGAAATTCCAGGATTAAAGTTCAGGAAAGTGGCAAGTTCTCTAAAGAAAAATTATGCCTGTCTGACCCATCCCCCTGGGACCCAGGCAATGACTAATGCGAATTTTCCTCGCTATGAGAAATGTCTAACACAAATGCTACGCAACCACGTGGACGCATAGGAAGCTCTTCTATGAACACAAGCTCCCAGGATCTTGACTCTCTCAATTCTAAATTGGTGGGTCTGGTTTTTGGTTCATCATTAATGGTGCGGATCCTACTTAGGTGTCCTCCTTGTCTTAATAAATTATTAAGATGTCTTATTCTTAGTTGATCGGCTCAAAGATTCAGGATGCTGAGGATGTCTTCTTGGTTCCTCTGGTGAAGGTTTTCTTCCTCTTCCATATGATACACCATTATCCATTTCATCTCCACCATGAATCCCACACCACCAGAATGCCTCACATGCCAACTCCAATCTTTATTGGTGAGTGGCTGGGGAATGGTGCTGGTTACATTTGGAAAACCACACCCTGCTATAGGCGTTTGGATACTTCCTGCCTTAGAAATCTTGGCATGGGAGGACCCCTAATGGAAACCACCAATGCAGTGTCCTCTCTGCATAGGAACAAAATGCTTCAATCTCACCATGATTCGCTTAGATCCTGCCCTGGAGAACTCAAAGACAGAGACTCAGAGCTTGCCTGGAGGGTAGGAGTTGGTATATTATGGTATATTACAACCTAAGCAGGCTACTGAATGAAAGGGCTTAGGAAGGGATGCCGAGGG